TGATGATTCATATATCAATCGATTCGTCTCAATCACGGGAGTGCTACTAAAGATATGATAGTAATCAAAATTCAATATGGACAAAATTAGGCGCCATATTGTGACGAAGTAAAAAAATAAGTTGACAAAATATGTCGAGGTGGGTATCACTGTCTAGATAATCGAAAATCATGTTTAGGTTCCTAACACCATTTTTCATTTTATATGATTGTTTAGGATCTACAACGCTTTAAAGTTGTATATTAACCAATTGCGCTTTTAATTTCAATCTTACGTTTGTATAGATCTTTGTTACTCTTTCACCCAAAAAAATACTGAATGGATTTTAATGTAACAACAGTAATATAGCTCATATATGATAATAACATAAATATAATAATTTATGTAGTTATTGAGTGAATTAGCCAAAATATAAGAATAAGTGTCACATAAGACGGAAAAAAATCTCCCATCTGCGAGCCATTTTGGCCTGCACTGCAAAAACAATAAAAGTTACATGAATGTAATGTAGAGTGAAAATGTATCTCTTAAATAGTTCTAAAAAAAGTCCGTGACACCATATATCTATATTTAATGTGTAAGCCACTACCGCTAAAATAGTGAATATAAAAACTAAAATATTATTTGATATCTATTTCCAAAATGCACATTTTGTATTAACAAATTATTTTTTATCAAAAAAAATACTTTTATCGCTTTTGATATTTAAAGACGATAAACTTTGCCTTTTACACTATGTCATTTCAACAAATATTTAAAAAGTTACAACGATGGCAAAGTGATATCTCGGTGTACTATGTAGGAGTAGAGTGCGGGAATACTGAGAGAAGAAATTTAATTTAGGGGTTTATAAACGTGGATAAAACCTAGGCGAAAATATGATCCTATACGAAGTACTAACAATAAAACTGTCATACAGTTCCTTCTTATTAAATGATGAAAAATAAATTATCATAATAGGTATTTATGATTATTGAATTTTAATGAAAAACTCAATTATACTGTTTTTTTTAACGATACTACTTAATGTTACAAAAAAGGTTTACTTAATATAATGACAAATAACCCATTTTTCGCTAGTAGGTACATACTTATTGGAATCCCTGTATTTATTTACCTATAAACGATAATTCTGCAAAATTCAAAGTAAATAATATAGATTTTTATAGGTAAATCACCCCTTTCATCAGCCTACGCCTATAAGTATTGCGATGTTGTAGCTAAGAACCAAGTTCCCATCTACTTCTATATGGGAGTTCATTATAATCGATTTAGCTATTAGGGCACGGAAGCGCAACAAACAAACTCACTTTCGCATCTATAATATTATATAATACTTACTAGTGATCCACCCGGGCATTGTACGGGCGAAATTTATTTTATCGGGATAAATAATAGCCTATGTCACTCGGACAAAATGTATTTAAATAAAGAAAAATGTAATAATAAATAATGTAGCTATCTTATGATGAATTACTATTTGAAACCGTTTCAGTAGTTTGACAGATTATTTGTTACAAACATACAAATCTTGCCTCTTTTTAATATTAGTAGAGATAGGATAATAGTATTTTATTGAATTGATGAAAAAGATTTAAAAATAAAGTAAGTAATAGGTTTATTTGATTATATTTGTAAAAGTTACTTAGCATTTGTGCTTAACATTGATACGTTAATTCGGTATTTTTTTATACAAAAAAATATTTTGGGAAATATTTGCCATGATTGCACTATTTGCCATACCTACTAGGCTGGTAGCAGCACGCTTGATAGGTGGAAGTACTCTTCATTGGAACTTTACACTACCAATAAAAAGGGTCGATCACAGTCTTTGACCTGTTATATGTGAACGCTTGAAAAGAAAACTACAAAGAGAACTATAAATTGATAATAAATGAGATTGCTATGGTGCTCTACCTAACGTTATGAAAATTTTAGTATGCGCCTTTAGTTTAATCAAATATTATAAACTTTGCTTTGGTAATTGCATAATTATTTAATTTAGAGATCTAAGGCAGTTGCCACGATTGTCCAAAACAATAGACGGGTATTACTGCTTTTTTCAACCTGCGACATAAACGTCATTGATTGGTATTGTATATAGGATGATTAACAACATTTGAAGTTAACTTATGGCATCTACATAATTGGGTTTCTGTGAATTATGTAGGTATATCAAATTATGAGACTAAGATATGACACTGCATTTGTGTATATCACAATCTTAGAGCCGGACGTTGACATGACAATGCAGCCAATGCCAATTTTAAATAGTCGACGAATAAAAGTAAATGAATTTTATATTTACTGCTAAACTACTAAAAAGACATTAACCAAAAGATTACTTTTTGAATAAGTGCTAGTTTACTACAAAATTTACATACAGTAGATATTTATGTAACGACTTGATTTAACTTCACACATTTTTGCGAAAATTGAGGCCCATCTGTCGCCTTGACCCCGCTGGTAAAGTCTCTATTATATATTAATAAATCAATCTTTTAGACCACCGCAAGGTACTTAATAATTCCTGCGATATTAATTCCCTTACTGAAGTAACAAGAATACGGTATATACCGTCTTAAAATACTATCTAACTAAAAAGTGTGAAATAAAAAAGGCAAATTTAAAAAATCAAAAACCCGACTGCTTAATAAAAACTGAAAAGAAAAAAACAAGTCCAGTAGTCTATAATTCTGTTAATAAGGAACAAAGCTACTTTAACAGTCGGGACCCATTATTGAAAAATATTATGTATTCTTGAATATCTAATGGTCCCGCGATGTTAAAGTAGCTTTGTTCCTTATTAACAGAATTATAGACTACTGGACTTGTTTTTTCTTTTCAGTTTTTTTTTTATATTTATTTTATATTATTCTTTATTTGTTGTTAATATGCGACTTCAAATCTGACTAGCCATTTAAGTAAAATAACTTAGAATTTTGTTCAAGGATACCACGGAAACACTTGGTTAAAGGCTCAGAAATACATATTTTAATATAATATATACTCTAATAACAATTCCTATAATTTAGGTACATAAGCTTTATTAAGTCACTATGTTATAAAAAGGCTTAAAGGTTAGGTTCCAGAAAAAACGCTTTTAAGTGTTTTCTGATAAAAGATTGTTATATGTTTTCTTAATGAGTAAAAATTTATCAACCAAAGAAGTCAGCTGTAATGCCTTGCTTTTATTTATCACCTTTTTCGAAAAAAATATCACGATAGGAGTGTTTTAAATTAGGTAGGCCTTATTTGTATCACTTCTCTTAATAAATAATTGAGCTTGCCGAGCATTTGTCTGCCAATAACTTGCCCCAAAAATGCATTGTTTTTTGGATATTACACGTTGAAACTTTCGTTTTTGATAAAGAAGAGCCAACCTTTAGCAACTATTACGCGTTAGTATTCAATATACTTAGTGGTATTTAAAACCCAGTATTTTTTGTTTGTTTTGTTTTTAAGCTTTTACAGAATTATTCATTAAAAAATGTCTAGCTAGAACGTCTTTTTTTGTTGAAAAAATTACGAAACCAACCCTCGTCACATTGACAACTTTTTAGTTTCTACTTGAGAGTAAGTCAAATTTTGGTGTTAATTGGTGCTGTTTGGTAGAATTGCTTGGAACAATAAAAAGGGACAAGCCTGCATTTGCTGGACTACAAGGAACTTATTACATTACATACATTTATACTAACTGAAATGCTTACGAAACAATATGGGAATTCAAAAAATGTACTCTAACTTGTTTTTGTTTCTACCTTTATAAGGGGGAAAAATACTCCTAGCGCGACAACGACGAAAGTGAATTCAGTCCCTCTCCTGCAACTGTTTGTGCACACTACTAGAACGAGACAGATTCCACCAATTTGAAACGATTTTGAGGGTCGCGTAAGCATTGCAGTTAGTATATAAGTTCCTTGCTGGACTAAGTGCTCCCACAGATAGCTGCGGATTCGCATCGCAAATATCAGCGAGCTCGCACGAATGCACAACAAGACCTTCCGATCTGATTCGCATCGCGCTTTCCCTGCTCTTCAAATAAAGATATGCTCATTCTAAAATAATATAAAAAAATATCCTCTTCTGTTCTCAAAACCATTATATTTTCGAGTAACGTAGTTCCGTTCAAAATCGTTATAAATGGATGAACCCAAAATCTTCTTTTTCTTCTTTATATATTTTACAATAACTTTTGCGATCTACTTATGTTAATATTACTAAAACACGTCCAATACAGCTGACTACCGTTGAAGGTAGTCGTATCGCAGCAATTCACTTCGAAAGTTCCTGCGTCGCAACCGTCGTATCACATCGCATCGTACTTTTGTGCGAGAGCCCTATATCCTATCCTTTCCATTATGTGTAGAGTATGACAAGGAAACACTGTTGTTAAATTCACTTTAAGGTTGAGAAAATCATGCCAGAATTTGAAAGACCCATTATCAATGAATTACGTTAAAAGTATGGATGTGGATTGATTGATACCTAATAATATATAAATACCAGCTCCTTTGTGAGACCGGCAGTGTCCTAGGATCACTACCCTTCCCGCTCCGCCAGGAAGGAGGTACCTGTATCCTCCAGAAGGAGGCAGCGGAGAGGGACCGCGAGGGGGACAGGCTGGCCCTTTACGATGCCGACGGTAGGGACGAAGGAGATGATGTAATGCGCATCTCTAGTGGAACTAGTGGCTGGCAGACAGGGTGGTCTACCATCCGCATTGCACAGCTCTACCCCTTGAGTGGGGATATACAGGTGCTTCCGGGCATCCCCCTGACCGCAAGGAGGAAAAGGAACCCCTGCCGAGGATAATGTGGAGTCTCCGGATCCCACGAAAACCGTTCCGGCAGGTGAGGAAGAACTGGTGTCCCAAAGGCTGGCTAAGCGGGTGGGCGGGATTTGGGGGGAGGAGGAGTCCCACCTAACGTCGTCTCACACAAGGGCGGGGTACGCGTCATGCATTTTCCCAACATATAAAAATGGTCTTTTGTACCTACCTCATTTCTCCTTAGTCCTTCTTTTCTCCATCATCAGGGTCCTTGAGGGTGTGCCACTGCGCAATAGGTCGCCGCGGGCTGGCCAACATATCCGACCAGTGGCGCAGCTCCGTGCCCGACGCGTTGTATCCCAGCACCACTTTGCCGATCGGCTCCGACGTACCGATGCGATCGTAGTCCACCACCGTTACTACTAGATTTACTTTCTGCAGTGCAATTTAATTAAACTGATAAAATGTGTACAAATCTTGGTGATTTTGGTGATGTGATGGCGTCTGTGTGCACCGCACACCGCACAAATAAGGAGCGGCGTGACCCTGGGTGTGATATTTTTCACGGACTTGTTGTACATATCTCCTGATTAGTATGAGTGAGTAGAACTCTCGATATCCCCTTTTTCGTTTCTAAGTTTTAAGGTTTTTAGTTCAGGAAACATATCTAACAAATATATACGGTGATAAAGCTCAAGCAAAACATCAAGTGTCGTTTTTAAAATTCCGCATAACGGACTTGAATATGTTTGAATGATCTATGCTACATCATACTTCAGTATATCTTCACCGTGAATTTTGAGTTACCTAAGAAACTAAAATATAGTAAGAATATAAACAGTAAACGTACTACACTCCCATAGAAAAATATTGATTTAAATCGTTTAAAAAATATCCTAAAACGGCGCCATACCTATTAAGGAATTATTCTCTGTTTAAACCTACTATGGAGATCCTAAAAGTAGGAAGTTTTATTTGAATCTTTTTATCACAATTTAAATTGTTGAGGTTTCATCATTGCACAATTTAGTGAGCTAACGTGGTAATTTTTCGGAAAAATAACTAAAGAATAAAAATATATTTTCGAAGCTATGTAAACCAAATCGTTGTCTGAATTAGCTAGTAAGATTTCTCAGGTAACTCATAATTTACGGTGTATAAATATAATACACTACAGGTGCCCTGTACTTCTAATACGCGTTAGTTTGAGGAAAAAGGTAATTGTGCGTTAAACTAATAAGGTAAACAAATTGCGGTATTTTTATAGAACTTTTATAGGGGAATAATTTCGTCATACGTGATTTTCGCGCAACTTTAATCGTTCATGCAGCACATACAACGGAAGCTCCCAAATAAAGTACTTTTCCCATTTTTGTAAAAATTTTCATTGATACACCGCTCCCATTGGTTGTAGAGTAATGTAAAATAGCCAATTTCCAAAATTGATCTTGCATTATATTTATTACGATTTTGAGAGTAGGCACAGAGTTTGAAGTTTCGGCAGATTACCTTTATCTTTCATATGTAGACTTTTGTTGCCTTTTTTACATCTAATTTGTCCATCTACAATTGTGAACGACGATAACATCGAGCAGACAGAACAAGTAATTAACCAAATGATCTATAATTACATTATTCTTCGGCATAGGCATGAGTTGGAAATACCTACAATAGGGTATTTTCCAAATTTTTGAAAACTGATTATATTTAAACATTGGGACAAACGATTTAACAGAAAAATAAAAATAAATAAATGTGTTTTTGTCTCCATTACACCAATTTAAATTTAAATTTATTTTAATGGTTTTGAATTTACCGACTGCGTCGCTCTGGTAACGGCATACTAAAATGTTTGTACGATCTTAACAATCCAATTTATAGATATTGGCTATCTGTGCACATTGATGGGAATCGCAAATAAACGATTGACTTTATATTATAACAATGTAAGTGTATTTTTAATTAGTTTTTATATTATGTTGTATCATGTTTTAAATATGGGTCTTAGCTACCTGCAATAAATGATTTTATTAATATATTCCTTACTGGTAAGCAGATGGGGCGAGGACGACTTCTCTTCGGATCTCGTACTATTGGAATCCCAGGAGTAGGTAAGTACTAGATTTTACGAAGGGATGACAAATTTGGCGTGTGACATAGTGTCAGATGTCGAAACAAGAATCAACAAAAATCAGTCTAAGCATCATTGCTAGGAAAGTATAAGTACTTAATGGTTAAATACTTATTTTGAGAAAACAAGTTCATTTTTGACTGAAAATTAAATTTTAGTGTCTCCCATGCCATGCTGATTTTACCATTATTTTATTTTATGCTAACCATTATGATTTATTATTATTGCGACGTCTCTCCATTGGTATTTCCGCAAGTTGTAGCTGCAAGTATTGTTTAAAGATAGGTACCTAGAAAGAGGAGTACTGTTTCTTGCCTTTATGTATGTTATATTTAGTGGATTTAAAATTAGTTCGTTTTAACTTGTGTAACAACTTGGCTACTATGAAGGTACAAAGGGGAAAATTAGACAATGGCCTGGACTCTCATCATGATCAGATTAGGTAAGTACCCACGTGATATCAGAATCCTTAAATATTTATGTGACTCATGTTCATGTTCCTTTATTATTAACAGAGCACCCCCTTTTTTCTTGTCTTATGTTTTTTTATTCTACTGAATTTTTATGTAACGATCTAGTCTTGGTCAATGGCGATTTCATTACTACATACGAGGAATAATATTAAAAAAAAGAAAATTTAGTAGGTACCTGTTGAATTAATTATAGCCAAGATGATACGTTTATACTTATATCAAAATCAAAACATACAGGTGTTCTACTATTTCACAATCTAAGAACAGCGGCGGAACTGAGAGATGTCGATTTAATGTAGGTATTTACCTAATGTTTGTCAAACACATCACGTGTTTACTTTATTCTGAGGTTTTATTCTATTTCTATGTCAGTAAAAGAGATAGCATCATCATTAATGTAACTTTATAATTATTCGACATCTCTGAGTGCGGCTGAAAGAATGAAAATTTTAATTATGTTAGTGAAGACTTTCAAAGTAATGTTATGTCGAAAGCTATCGCCTCAAGTAGGTATCGATGAATGACTTCAGTACCTTTAGTACGAACCAATACGAATTCGTAACGTTTGCGAAATGTGTATCTACTGATTTTTAGTTCTCGTTACGTACTTTGTAGCACTGCTGTTCAAGTTTTCATATAAAATTTGACATTGACATTTCACACTCGCAAACTATTCGAAATCGATAATGGTTCATGCTAGAGGTACTGAATCCAAATACATACTTTAGACGGGTACTACTTACTTACCTAATTGTAATTTATGAATTAAGATGTAGCATTTATCATAAAAAATGTTGTTAATTGTGATCATGAAATTATAAAGCAACATTTGCGTTTTTTATATACTAATAGGTATTATGTATACGAACATACTTATTTGTTTCTAAAAAAATGTGTCGTCTCCACAATATCTATTAATACTTCCGAAAGCGCAAACATCAGTGTGAAATTTGTCTGTCTGTGGAAGAATGTGTATATCTGTTGTGTTCTTGATCATAAAAATAAAAATGGTCAGCGGATAACATGCCAACATTCGCTTTCTAACAGTAATTAATTAAATTAAGCATATTAGATACTTACTTTATAATTGGGGTTTAAAGCAGAGGTGAAAGAAGGAAAACGTGAAAATATGAAAAGAGACATGATGCAGAAGAAGAACGAGGGACTGGATTCCTTAAACCATAAGTAATTACAATTTGAAGTCACCAAATTGTAATGCAGTTACGAGGGGAGATTATACAACACCACTTCAGTAATTTTCTCTTCATACTAATTAAAGCCATCCTTGATACCACTTTCAGGAGTCATGAAAACCTTCAACCGTAACATTGTGTTGCAGATAAAGGTCAACATCTCGAAACTACTGTATAAAGTGTGGCTTTTAGTAATACAAAGAGGGACAAAATGGGACTTGACTGGATATTCACAGTTAGGATTAGAGACAGATAAAAGATTTTAGGAAGACAGTAGATGAGACCAACACAACACTAAAAATACTACCCACTAGCTATAAAGTTAGCAATATAATGCTGCGGCCACACTTACTGCACTATAGCGAACTTTTGCCGTTTTTACGACGCATCTAACCAAGCAATATTCACATTTCTGACCGCGTTCTGAAATGTGACTATTGCTTGATACAACTTATCGTGAAAACGGAAAATTTTCGCGATAGCGCGACAGTGTGGCCGTAGCATAACACACTGACACTAACGAAATATAATTAAATTATCAAAAAAAAAAACTAAAGTATAACATTTTATTTTATCAATGCACTGTAAATAAATAAACATTCAAATAAGAGTAGCAAAATAAATTTGAATGGCGAACATGTCAATGATCACATCAACCATTCACATAAAACAACAAACATCTGTCAAACACGGGATAGGATTGGTATGGATGCGAGTGGTGTAAGTTTTCCATATTCACAACATTTAATACACAACATCAAAGTAATGCGTACAGAGCAGACGATTTCGAATGAACCTAAAGCTTCCCGCCCTCCCATAGGTGCGTTAGTATCGGTCAGTAATATCGAATGCGTTATTGCGATATTTCGTCATACATCTATTGCTTCGTTATTATCGTAGCAGTGTGTAACTTCGTGGCTGTTCTCTACACAATGTAATGTGTGTATGTAATGTAAAAATAGATATCGCAATCACGCATCCGATATTATCAACCGATAATAACGCGCCCATGGGGGGAGGCCTTAAAACAATGCCGATGGGCGAATTTTTTGTGTTTTCATTCGAAACGTCCTGTCTGTATGCGACGATATCGAATTTTGCAATCTCGGCTCGCACCTGTATTTGTTCGAATGGTACTTCAAAAGTAAATGACTCGTTGTAATAGGGATTCAGTGTACATTTCTTGATGCTCGTCTTCTTCTTCTTGAGTCGTTTGCCGTTTTGCATGAGTGCTATCTTTACGTACGGATCTGTTGCGCCGCAGCATTGGTGTCAGATATGGAAAAGAGAAAATAAGTATTAGACGTAAGAATGCGAAATTGTGAGGGCTTAAATTATTACTATAGTCTACCTAAAAAGTTGGGAGCACTACTATTTTTTTATAGCTAGGATTAACGGAGCTGTTTGGATTGCTCAAACTATTTATGAGTTAATCAAGAATGACCGTGAATAATGAACTTTTTTCAGCCTGATCAAATTTTTAAACAAGCACTATGCGATATATCTATGTGCGAGTATGAACTAGAGCATTTTTGGAACAGAAAATGAATTGTGTCATTAATTTCCGAATCATCACTAAGCACGGCGACATATTGTTACTAACTTGATTTCACATTTTAAAATAAGTTGAAATAAAATATGTAATAATAAAATAAGTGTCATTCTAAAAATAAGATGTAAAATGCGAAAGCAACAGTATTAAAATATAGTTTACTAGTTAGGAAAACAAAATTATTTCGAGTACATTAGATTAGATAGTTGCAAGAGAATTTTTAAAAACTAGCTATGGTGCATTCTCACCATAAATTAAAGTTATTAGACAAAAGTCAAACCATTTGTGTCTTGTGCTTAAATAGTGATTAGGTAGATGAATTCTGTATGGATATGTGATGATATTGGTTTCAAATTATGAGATTTATGAACAGATAACATAATCTTTTGTTCACAGTTAAACCATTTGTTCAACTCATCATTGCGGATATTTCATTTATATGAGAAAATAGCGGACCCGGCTGACGTTGCCCTGTCCGATAAAAAAAAACTATAATTATACTGCAGCGTAACCTCTCAGGTACAGCTTTAAGTTAAACATATATATATATATATCTGAGTGTAATTCCATCGTCTTCATGTCTCTGCATACTGCGCTCATCCAAGTACTTGGCGGTCTAATGTTTCTTAGGCCATTTCCATGACAATTTTGGTTATTTGATCTTTGCGTCACATGACGTGGCCATACTAATGAAGTCGACTCTCAACGACTTTTCTACAATTTTTGCAACTGTTATTCCCCCAGGTCACCTCAGGATCCTCATTTCTGTTACTCGACTTTGCGCATAGGCCAGCATTTAAACCCATAAATTAAGGCAGGTCTCACAGTTCTTTTTCTCAGGTCACAGATGTCTTCTGTTAGAGACCTCCACTTTAACCACGCACTCTTTATTCTGCTATCGATATCTTTGTCCATAGAGGCATTTGATGTTATTGCTGATCCCAAATACTTAAAAGAGTCAACTTATCTCATAGGCACATTTTCAATATGCAGTGACTGTTTTACAGAGGATACAGAAAGTTTACACTTACAATTCATGCATTCTATTTTGGTCCAGCTTACCCGAAGACCACTCCGTTCCAATGCTGAGCACCTGCATTTAAATCTGACTGTATCTCTTGTTTTGTTATTAAAACTATGTTATTGGCATATTATAGTGTCCAAGGAGTTGGTTTTTGAAGGCGTAGTCCCAATCTATGACTACATTAAAAAGTAGAGGACAGAGCACAAGCCTCGATGAACGTCAACTTTTACCTCGAGATCATCACTAACTCCAACGGGATTAACAACTTTGGTTTTAATGTTGTTGTACATATCTTGAATGATAGATATGGGTATAGCGCTCTAGGATGAGTTGCGCACGTAGAGCCTGCCATATAAGTAGTCTTGGCACTCTATCAAACGCTTTTCCAGGTCGATGAACACCAAGTGAAGATTTTTCTTTTCAGTTTTGTATTTTATGAATAGCATCTATAGTACCAACCCCACTAACAAATCCATATTGATTTTAATATCAGTGACGTCTGTCAGTCTAGAGGTCTTTTAGAGTCTTTAAACATTCACTTTTTTCTAGATTTGACATTTATGGCATTATGACAGTGAGTTTGATTGCTCGGTAAGCTGAATGTGGTAAATTAGCTACTGTCCGGCATCTTCTCTTTTAACACTATGATGTTAAATAGTTTAGTGAGCCATAAAATTCCAGAATCGCTAGTCATTTATAAAAGTTCAGAAGGTCTTTCGACTGGTCCCGTAACAAGGGCCCTTATTCCGACGCAGTACTGTATACTAATTTATGTGGGAGTACTTAATTTAATAGATTTTTCATAGTATTTATGACATTTTTCATTAATACCTTTATCTTAGGTCAAAATAGTATCTGTATTGCCTATTAGCACATAGTATTTGTCACTTATTTAATAAGAAATAATATGTATTTTATTTTTTATATTAAATTATTCAAGAGCTTGTCAAAATCAGGTGTTAACGGTTTTTTACTACCCTCCCAAAACCTTATCTGTTACTGCATTGTCAAGTCTTTTGTACATGTCCCCAACGGCCAATGCCTTGGATTTAGTGAGCATTCTCTTTATTTTCTGTTTAACATCAACATAGTTAAGAAAGTCAGAAGCCTCTTGCGACTTTTGCCAAGTGTTAAAACACGATTTCTTTTTTGCAAGTTGTAACTTAACCGAATCATTGCACCAATTTGGGTCTTCACTTGGTTGAAGTTTACCCGTACCGAGCTTTAATATCCTTTTGTCATTTTTAATAGTATGTGCTTGGAATCCATCCCATTAATGGGAGCTACGGAAACTGGAAGAGGAAAATATCAATGCTTACGAATTGGTGTTTTTCTCTTTTGTAGTGCCATTTTAGTCGAGGTGTCATTCTATATTATATACACTGTGATTTTTGAGTTACCAGAGAAACTTTACTTGCTAATTCAGACAACGATTAAGGTTATATAAATAGTGAGTTAATGTGGAAAAATGTCTCCACATTAACTCGCTATTTGTGCAATTATAAAATCTTTACATATAAATCTACTTTTAGGATCTACGCACTTTAAACGGACAATAGTACCATAATAGGCATGTTATTAACAAATGATCCATTTTTTTCTTCATACACTCAGCCAAATTTTGTACCTCAAGAATTATCATGCATTTATGTGTAGAAAAGTAGTATTCTCCACTTGTACCACATAAAAATGCCGTTTAAATATTTAAATTAATGGCAACACAGATATTGTAATATGGCAAATGTGCAAACATTGTCACTCGGCTATATTGTAGTTATAAATAAAATTTTCCACTCAGAGAAGTCAGAGTCAGAGTGAAATTTTCAAGTTAAAGTTTTCTTTAGATTTATAAATAGTGCAGATTAATCAACGATATTGATACCATTATTAAAAAAAAACAACTATTCTTGAATATCTAATTGGTCCCAACTGTTAATGTACCTTTGTTCCTTACTTAACAGATTATAGACTACTGGACTTGTTTTTTTTCCAGTTTTTATTTGAATTAATATAAAAGCAGTTGGGTTTATTGATTTTTTAAATTTAACTTTTTTTTCGTGGTGATGAGTTACAGTGCTGCAAATGGTTTTCAAGTTTGTTTCAAACAAAGAATTATGTTATGTTCTTGTATATACCGATGCATGTAAATCTACTTGGTGTAGGTATAAGGTGGCGATAATAATGTTTTTATAAAATATAAAATCAAAAGCATTACTTATAGGAAAACAAGAAACTATCCACAATTAGTGTCATTTAAGTTCAATACACACCGCTATTTTAGAATATTATTACAAGTAAGTAATACCCTAAAACCCCTGTGGAATCAGATAATAATGTTATCGGCATATTAATAAGTGATCGAGCAGAACACCCAACACAAGTGGTATGAAGATAACGAGATCACCTGATAGGCCACCGACGTCCATTTTCTTCAGATTCTTCGCTTCCAAAATGACTACTGTGAGTTTTCCGGCAGTCGGTACATAACGCAGCGAGAAACATATATCTCCCAACTTGTTATCCTGAAATATATACACGAGTGACTTTTAGTAATTTTTTATAAATTCTTTCAGAGTTATAAATGTCATTTTTTTACTTATTGATAGTAACTCAAAGGAAGACTCCTCCAAAAGAAAACAGTTTTCTATAAACATTTAATGTATTTTTCTTTATATATTAAAAAGAAATCTAATTTCCTAAAGTATTGTTGAATGATTTATTTAACATCCTCGGTTGGTGCTGAGAGTTTTCTAAGGTGGAAAATTAGTTGGATGTGAAAGTATATATGGTTAATAAAAACAGGAAAACTTGTGTTAGGAATACTAATAGTGTTCAGAAATCGGGTTCGAAAGCTGTTTTATGAAACATACAATATAAATAATAGTTGGGCCATAAATAACGCGGCTTAGGGTGGGTTAGGGCACTTAAAATCTCGTTACACAAAAAGAAATAAACATGACAATAGCTCCGTGTAACCTAAAAGCATAGTTACGGTCATTGGATTGACGGCGTAGTGTTCCAGTTCGGACGGTTGTGATTAACAAATTAATAATTATTGTAAACTATATTTTTATTTAAATCTACAGAAAAGTTTACTAGAAAAAAAATCCACGCGGACCAGGCAGCGGACGGGACTCGAACCCGCATCCTTCGCTATCCGGGCGAATGCACTGACCATTATGCTACCACGTACATTGTGGGTTACCTACAATGCGAAGAGATGGCGCTGCCTTGCAGCTTAAGGCTAGGAAAATTTCGACGCGGCTAATAGGGCCGTGGTAGCATAATGGTCAGTGCATTCGCCCGGATAGCGAAGGATGCGGGTTCGAGTCCCGTCCGCTGCCTGGTCCGCGTAGATTTTTTTCTAGTAAACTTTTCTGTAGATTTAAACATCTAGCAGTTAAATGCTTAAAAATAAATAAAATCATAACTATATTTTTATTATTAACAAATTGAAACACTACTCCGACGTAACGTGCTCCGGACGCATAGCCCAAAACAGTTGAGGTAGCCTCAAACGGAATGGAGTTTGCATCTAAATCATACGCACATTTGACGAACACGGTCATTGCGTTACATATAACGTTTTAGCACATAGATAATTTCATCTAAAAACGTGAAATTAAACATGATACATAATATTTGTTATATTAAAAAAATCTATAAGACGAACATAAACAAAAAAAAACAAAAGGTACATCAACGCTCATGTCAAACCATATATTAAGCAGTCATATTCCGCTGAAATAATATATAGGTAATATTTTTAATAGATTTATTATTGACATTACGATCTGTTGCCGAAATGAAGCCAATCAAAGAATTTCGTAACACCCAGCTCAGATCATCATGGAAAATATGTGCTCACCTTTAAAACCTAATGTCCTCCTGACCTATAATATGTGTATTGAATAATAAGTATGTTACCTTACGAGACGTTTCCTACTCTGCAAAAAAGACTAACCATTTTAGGAACAGATCGCAATTATAGCAATACTAACAATACACAAAATTATACACATACATAATCAACCATAGGACTACAAAAATAAAGAAATTATTCAATATTATTTTCAGACTGAAGAGTACGAACAAACGTCATGCAGTAAATTATGTTATAATATACATAATTTCTTTATTTTTGGTTAAGGATTATTGGCACATTCATGAGTGTTGACATTGAAACACACCAATCTAAACAATTACACGCAGCACAACACGGAGGCGATGAAGTGTAGATATAAAGCTTCGGTTATTTTTTGTAGTGCTTGAGTTGTGTTCATTAAGTAGCTACTAGTTTAGTTACATATTAGTCAGTAGAACACTATTATTATTAATTCTCTTGTAGCAATCAGTCTGGTGTTTTAAGTAACTAAATGATAACTCTATTATTTATAAAAAAAAACTACTTAATATCTTTTCAATTTTAATAAAAAGATTCGTAATATTCCTTTCTTTACCTAAATTTTTATAATGTTTGCCAATTTATTTGAGGCCAAAAATAATGTGTATCTGAAGAAAAATCTTGTCTATTTTATTAATATTGTTTAGTCTAAATAAATAGATTTATAATGCCATGCAAATGCTTTGGTTACTTGTTACAGGCGACATGTGTATAGTTGGCATTTTTTCTCTGCACTGCAAACAGTACCTGTAACATACTTATTATTTTTATATAACAAAAATACAATTAATAATATTTATATGTGTACTATATGATTGATAAAATTGTAAATTATACCTGTTTCATGAAGTTATGTAAATGTTGGGTTAAGTGATAAAGACTTGATGACGTTAGTATGAAATGCACAACATGTTGTCCTCTAAGCTTTAAAGCGCATTCAAGTGCAAAAGGCTTAGATTGTGAAATAACGCGAAGAGAACAACATTGGCCGTATAAAGAGAGCGCGAGAAGCATTAAGATTAGCTCACAAGGAACACATAGCCAATTACAAATAACTAATTACAAGAGGGCTTAATTAATCCCTTGACTAGTCATTTTTAAGGTATAATACCTAATGCACTTAACACTAAAATAAAGGCATAACATTGTTACTATGCCAAGTCAAGGAATTAATGGAGAGAACAATAAACGTATACATGCATCATTCCCAGCCGTATAAAAAAAAATAAGTAAGTGTTGGATGGTTATAAAAAAATATTATAAAACATATTTAATGGTATGAATTGGTATTAAAGGCGATAAAAGGTAAAGGTGAATAACTTATTGACGTGGGTTGCCTTATGTCCAAATGATGTATCCTACCTTCCTAAGGACCTATTTTTTTAAACCACTTTATTTTTTTCACTTTATATTGCGCACTTTCATCAAAATTACATCTTGTCTGTTCGGTGGTGAATTTATAATATACCAATTATATCTTGATGTGTCTCAAAAAAATACTTACGTGAATGATCATTTCGTTTTTTGAAGCGGCATGCAAGATTGTTCAGGACACAATCAAACACAGCCAAGCAGAGCAGAGAAAATATGGAGAAAAAGAGAAAAACCAAGTAAATACATTTTTGCTGTCGAAATTAATTTTATCAGAAAAATAAATGACGAATAAATCCTTTTTGAGGGGCCTTGACTTTTTGCATTTTTCGATGAAAACGCTGTGCATGTGATGAGGCCACACCGTATATTTGCGATACTGAAAGTTATCCAGCGAAAAAGTTTTCATAATTTTTTGTTAAATAAAAATAGTGTGGTCAAGGTTCCTCTTTTAAATAAAGTGCAGTAAAATTTTTAAAATGTGTCATACCATCCTTTCCGAAAGCGAAAGGGCTAAAATACAAGTTCAGTAATGGTGGTAGCTGATCGTAGAGCGTTTCGAGACATACTACTTAGGTGAGATGAGAAGGGATCTTTCAAAAGGATGATATTCTTTACAAAAAACAATGCTGTTCTGCCAAAACACAAATCAAGAATGAGATCAAATTAACCCCATGGTATATGTACCTATATGTCTAAGATAATATTAGTGACTATGTGTTAGTAGAGAGGTAATAGTTTTAATATGTGTGTGTTTTGCCAGCCTAGCCTAAGCTAAGAAAAAGGATAAAGTAGTTTTTTTTTTGCAATCGATACTTTGTTTTGTATCGGTTTTATTTTGCAAACTTATTTCTAATTCTGTGCATTGATGGCGTTAATGTAGAAATGTATCAAGTAGATATATTATGTATTCAGAAGTGGTTGTTGATGTGACCTGGGTGTAACCGTTAACAGGGTTGTTAACTTTGCCAATATAATTTTTTTTGCAACGATCTATTCGTTGGCGTGATCAGTCGAATGAACTGAACCCTAAAAATTTGCAGATTTAAGTGGCCCAATTAATAAAACTAAATTATTAACCTATACGATTCCATAAATATAATCCTTTGCATGTCTATTTCTTTAAAACATATTAGAATAACAAGATCAATAAGGCCTAATTATCTGTATAAATATGGTGGTTAAGCTGTTTCCACAAGTGTAGAGGTGTCGGGGGCTGAAAAGTAAAGCTGTAAGTATAAATTATAATACAAAGCACTATATATTACTGAGACATAAGTTGTTCAACGTTGAGTTACTATAGTTAAAAAGTATCGAAGTAGGTATTTCAAATTAATATAAGCGAAATGTCCATAAGGCTTTTGTGCTTAAATATGGACTATTATTTTGGTACATTGCACACAATCTGTTGTGTGATTCATGTTGGCATCTAGGTATTCTGAGGTAGGTAATGTATGGATGTCCGCACCTGACCCCCCTCGCCTTCAACGCTTTGCAGCTCGCGCCACTCTTCGATGGTCTGCGCCAGGTCTACTTGGCATAGCGGCACCTTCACCTCACCGATTTGGTCGTGTTTCGAAAATCGATCGAAGTCGAAGATTGCGAACACGAGAGTCTTATTCATTGCATCTGCATACGGCACGTTCTGGGGATTGTCAAATATAAATAAAATATGCGTGAATTTTTTTTTTGTTATCCGAATGTTTGAAAATCGGTCCAGTCTTACCTTGAAGACGAAAGTTTCGTTGAACACCGGACTTAGTGTTTTCCTATGAACTTTAGTCTCGAACTTCTTCTTCTTGTCGGGAAGCAGGTAGACCTTGACGTAGGGATCAGACGTACCGCCCATATCCAGCGCAGGTAAGTCTTCCGCTTGAATAACGGTTACTGACAAGCTGTTGCTATTGAAGTCGTATTCTAGCTGCAAATGAAAAACGAACATCGCTGATATCATCAGCTACTTATTTCAATAATATTAATGTAAGCCTCTACAAAATGCATGCAAATCCTTGAACCTAATATAATAGTACGTAACAAAACGTATAAAAGGGTATAATTATACTGAAATATTATTATCAAATTAAATAAATAATAATTTATCTATTCTCAATGTCTATATTGCATACTGTCACTGTGTTCGTGATTATATAATAAGACATTTTTATATATAATAAGACAGAAAACGAACGAATTCTTCCATTTTCTGATGCTATCCATAAGCTAAAAAGGTTTGATATTTATTTGTACCATGTTCAATCTAATGAAAAGCAATTATTAACCTAAGAGTATGAAAGTAACTGTCTTCTAGGGATGGTAAAATAAATCAAATAATTACCTATCCAAACAGATAAAGGCATGCGCCAAAAAAGGGTTAATAATATCTCTGCGAAAAGCAAAATGATGATACTAGGTAATCAATGGAAACATCAAACCAATACAATGTGCAGGTATATTTAGATAGAAAGACAGTTGCGTTCGTACCGTAGTCGATGCGCTGTGCACTTCATTGCAAGATGCCTTCCTTGGAAGAACAATATTAGACCCACCTTATATTGGAGTTTGCCTAGCTTCTGCTCCTCCTTTTTGGAGTCTCCATCATCAGGTTCTTCCGCGTTCTCCGTGAGCTCCTCCATGTCGGGCTGAACCTAAATGCACGTCCCGCGGCAAATTTCACATGAATATCTTATCTCTTAAATGTAAGTATTTTAGTAAGCACCGTCTTCATTGTACTTTCCAAAGATCAATAAGAGTTAAGACAGGTTTTTAAAGCGAAACCTTTATTTTTATTGCTTTATAACAAGTTGCAGTGGGTGCCCGCGACTTCGTCTGCGTGAAAAATATGATTGCCCATACAAACTTCTACCCCCTTTTCGCCCTCTTAAAGGGTGATTTTTGGGTTAAAAACTAGCTCTATGTTTGTCCCCAAAAATATATATGTTCCTTGTCCCTTCCCTGGGACTCAAACTATCTTTAAACTAAATTTCATCTAAATTAGTTCAGCAGTTTAAGCGTGACGAGGTAACAGACTGACAGACAGACATACAGAAGTGCAGAAGTATGAAAGGATGGTTTTGCGGTATTTTTAAATCAAATAACAAAACAATGTAGACGACAGCTTGGAGTAGATATTTAACAAATATAAATGCTACATGGAAGTAAATGCTAAGACAGTTTTTAAATATACCTTATTAGTAATAATTAAGCGTCATAGCACACAAATTAACTCGGAAAGGGATCAATACCGACTCGCCTTTCGACTTGCTGTCAAACAGGCGTCCACCTAACGTAAATTGTAACGTAAGCGGATCAGCAGCCAAAATACGTTCGGATCGGCCACAGCAAGGCGACGCCAGCGACGCCGCGCTTACGGCTCGCCGACCGCTGGGTGACGGGTAGGCGGAACCAGTCCAATCGGTCATAGAGAAAGTAACCATACCATTTCAAGAGTCGGCACTTCCTAAAACCTCTTGTTTTTCTATGGCTCTCCATTCACCTGCGTTGCCGATCATGCTCTCATGATCGGCAACGCAAGTCACGGGAGGGGCGTGAACGAAAATACGTAAGCTAGGATATGGACAGAAGTAAGCTAGACTATAGAGAGACGTAAGCTAGGGTATGGAGAAACGTAACCCAAGCTACGGAGAGACGGCAGCTAGCCTACGGAGAGATGTAAGCTAGGCTACAGAGAGATAGATGTAAGCTAGGCTACAGAGGGACGTAAGCCAGGTTACAGCGAATTGACGACGCACGTTCGGCAGCTTACCCCGAAACAAGGCGATTACGCAGTAAGGTGTTCCATGCAAAGAATACTGAACGGCTCGAGTTAATACAATAAGATCGCTTTCCGAGTTGACATGTCTGCTACGACCATAATAAGGGCCGTAACCAGAGTTGCATATCGATGACCGAATATTTGCGTTATCGCGATGAGAGCGGCCTAGGCAATAAACGTCGAGCTTACGGCAAGGTGTCACCTATTCAATGACTTTTTACTTTATATATACATTACTGTATAGAAGAGAGGTAAGCCTGAGGACTGGGAGTAATGTACTGTAATCGCACTTAATTCATTATATTTTTAGTCGTACATATTAACTAAAGTTGCAACACATTACCTTTTCCTTATACGCTGATCCCAGGAGCTGGACGGACTTGAGGTCGACCCCCTTCATTCCTTTCTTGCCATCCTTGGATCGCCTTTTCCGGAAGCATCTTCGGATGCAGCAAAAACATATCCCCAACACCACCGCAGCCACGCCTTAAAAATGAATATAATGGAAACAAAACAAAAAACACGACAGTCTTAAACTTTCATGGTCACTAACATTATAGTAATATAAGTTATTTACAGGATTGTTACCATGCCTTGTTTTTAGAGTTACTCTGTGATCATGGCGCTTGCAACAGTGCCGAAATATCGGAAACTCGCTAAAAACAAGGTACATGGTAACAATCCCGTAAATAACTTATATTACTATAACACGACAGTCGTTAAAAAATATCTAAAAAGTAAAATTTAACTAATATTTAGGTATTAAGTTTTACAGGTAAACCCCTTTAGTAATATATATTTCTATGTATTTGATACAGTCTCATTAAGATCTTTCAAATGATAGCTTTATTTTTATTGACATAAATAATTGACATTACTCTTATTTAAATTTTAACAGTTTAGGTATTGTTGTTGTTACCCGGGATTGTGAAAGGATTTTAACGACACATCTAAATCGGTTAAGGCGTTTAGAAGTTATGGTGGAATAAAGAATTACACAAATATACATGAACCCTGACACATTACACTCTTTTTTTGGGCAGTTGTATAATAACTACTACATACAACTAAAATAATAAATATTTGACAAACTGGCTGGCGTGAAATGTTGAACCATGTTCACGGTGATATATGTATTATTTATATTGTAGGCAGTGTAATCATTTATAGTGAAAAATAAATATAGACTGCTAAAATAATGTAAAAAAAAAACTATCAGGAACTGACGCGTTCGTTTCGTCACGTGTAAACATTGGACCGTGTTCCAATGAGTACACACGACGAAACGCGTAGTTAAAAACATTAAAAAAGGAAAAAAAAAGCTACGAAGCAGTTTGGTTAATCATTCGATCTGTCTATACATTTAGGCGCCATCTCCACGAGTGAGAGAGTCGCCGCGATAGACTTCCCAGCCATCTAATTTGTGACAAACTCTAGCTCAATCCCCACGGGGTGATATTAATCCCAGAGATACCAAAATTGACACTGGATGGACGAGCACAACATCATTAAGTATATCACTTAAAATGATTTGTTAAGTATATACTTATGCCATATGGCTACTTTTGCAAACGAAAAAAAAATGCGTATACATACTTGGAGAAACATTGGGTCCACTAACTTTCCGGACGTTGAGTGATTTCAATTCGGCACGTATCTCACGTTGCCTGATTTTTATATCAGGCATCTTAGTGCCACAATGAGGTAGTGATGTTGGCAGTGCATTGCAATCATCGAGTTGGGAGTAAGCCGCAAAGAATTTTGCCCGTAAATCGGCTTTCTCTTGCGGCTTATGATCTACTGAGCCTTCTGGACATCTCAGAAGTGGCAGCGATGGCTGGAAAAGTTGTTCTGAACGGCCTTGGCCAAACGCCAATACCTACGGAAGCCCGTAGAATGCGTTGTGGGCTGGGCTGCGCTGGACATCCGCTTTGATGTACGCCTTCTTGCAGGACTTGGAAGCAATATTGTAAGCTGCTTTTAGTGAATAGACCCGGGATATTTAAAAGCGCGGTCTTTGATCCACGATATGTTACCTACTTACGCGAAACAGCTACAGCACAATCGCGATAAACCAGTAGTTACGTATGCCCTTACTGATAAGAGCAGAATGAGGAATATAGTATTCCATAAACATTACAATCTCCTCAGTAATGGCAATGGCGCTGGCTGTAGTGCGCAAATTATTCGCGCATCGCGTCCCAATCTGCTAATAATGCTAGATCCGGCGTTTGACCACCGCTGGACGCGGCCAAGCCTCCGCGTCCACCTGTGGCGCTTGGGCAGATATCAGGCAAAGATCCGACGAGCCCCGTGGGGCTCTAACCACAATATGATAGCCCTGTAGATTTGTCGTTAGTAAAAGGTCCAACAAAGAGGGTGCTTGGCTCGGAATATCTGGGATCCTGGTAGGCTGATCAACAAGTTGCTTCAAGTCATGCTTGAGAGCGAATGTGTGAGCCCTGCATGGTCAGTTTTGGAGGAGCATTAAAGTCCCCCAAAAACACCAATTCTGAATTGGGAAATTGCTCCTGCACATCATCTGTTACCCGACTAAGACATTTGAAAAGTCGAGTTGCTTTAATGTTACCGGTGCGGGATCTGTAGAGGTACACGTACAACATCCGCCAGAACATACAGGTATACACTGGCTTTCATGCTTCAAACACGTAGCTGGGACAATTTAGGGAGCCTGTGGCAGCGGGTGAAAGTATTTGTGTCTCGGTCAGAAACAATAATGCTAGCCGGGCTGTCTCAAGATGGTGGTGGACAGCGTTGAGGTTTGAGTGGAGTCCACGTATATTGCAGAACTAGCCCTCAAACAAGGATGAAGAGACGTAAAACGAATGGACGTTTTTGCGACAAAACAGGACAAATTAGCGAGGCTTGTTTCCCCGAGTGACGTGAGTGAGTTTCCTAAAGCGGAGATGCACTGATAGGCTGAACGGAAGGTACCACCGGGAGTGGCCGCCGGGGCCGCACGTCGCGGACCCCACCAACCCACTCGACGGTCCAGCCCGGGATTATACGTAGCATGATGGGGCATTATAGTAATATAAGTTATTTACGGGATTGTTACCATGTTAACTTAAATAACTTATATTACTATAATGTTAGTGACCATGAAAGTTTAAAACAATATATGATGGGGCTGCTTCGCGAACTGGTTAGGAATGCTCGGGCCCCAGAACTGTGCCACGGGCGGCCAGCGGGTTAGCCGTTTCTACGGCTCTCCCTGACAGGCAGGTTGATGCAATCCTCTAGGCATCAGTTCGATGGATGTCTCCTCTGGACCGAGTCTGTCGCGGCAACGCCCACGCCCTTGCTATGGTTTTACGTTGGCTGACCCCGAAACGCGGTCAAGGAGTACTTCACGAGTTTTACACCATGCATACAGTGATAACTAACCAGGCGGGCGTTAAGCGCCCTACCTCTAGTAGAGCGGATAGAAGCTCCGAGCTCCCTTAGTCGCTTCTTACGACACCCGCAGGAAAATTAAATGGGTAGTGAATAGTATTCTTTCTCCATGACTGCACGGATATAATATATTTTAACTAATATATATTTCTAGTTTTTACGGGTTAATGCACGAAACTTTATTTATTTATTGACGTTTCGTAGCCTTTACAGGCTACGTCGTCAGAATTAAACTTTTGATTAATTTGTCGAGCTACCTTCGAAAGACTTTTATTGAGCGTTCGGTTATTTCATTGTTCGATTTTTAAACTTTTATTGTCTATGTATGAATTTATTATTAAATTTACTTAATAAAGTATTTTATTTAAATTCTTTTTTGTAATTTTGAGTTTATTTATTTGACCCTAACTACCGTAAACTACCACCGGTTCCAAAATTGGGAGACCTTTCTGAGAAGAACCGGCGAAGCAAACTCAAGAGAGGCTTTCTATCTCCTTCTTATGTTAAATTATGCAAACAAAAAGAACTAATAGTATCTGATGGTCTTGCAGTGTGTGCTCGGGGTTGGGATTTTATCTCCTGTATAATAGGTTCCCAAGCTGGTGGTATATACCAACCATCTTCCCTATTGAAATTTGGAATTTTTTTAATCTCAATAGCTTTTTTATAATATTTTTTAATCTATGTTTGTGAACATGCATTAGGGGGACCAAACCATTACATTAGATTTGATAAACCACAGATCCTTGCAGCTGAGCGGCGGTTCGTTCCTCGAATGATGCGCGAGGCTATTGCAATTCTCAATTTGAAGATCACACCGAAAAGTTTGGATAAATTGTTATGCTGGCCCAAAGCCGAATATTTATAAATTTCGTTAAAAAAAACTGAATTATAGAGCGAGGCCACACTCGCGCTGTTCTTTAAGTTAACTTTAAGTTATTATTTATAGTCGTCTTATATCTTCCAAGTAGGTAGGTATGCTATTTCGTTGTACCAAATGATTCATGTTCATCTTTTTTTTTAATACATATACAGTACATAATATATAGGCTGAAATTGAATGTTTCTATGAAACTTCGTGAGATTGTTGGATTACGTGTATAGAGTATGCCTGATTTTTTTCGGATTTTTTAAAATAATTTGTTTTTTCGTTTTTTATTTGGTTATTTTTGTCATTTCTTCCTTATGAGTAATTATTCATTTTAAACACGTCTACATAGAAGTTATAAAGCAACTTAAAATAAGCACTCCTAAAAAAACGGAAACTTAATAAATGCCTCCAGTCGAGATCAGCGCCGGCGGCCGCCGGGGTGACGACCGGCGGCCGCCTGTGTAGGTACCTACTACACGCACAGATGACTCGGCGCTTACCTACTCTCCGCTTTGATTCCACACTATTTAAAAACATTACAATAAAATAGTCTTAGATGCTATATTATAATTATTTATTCACTGATACACAATACTTTTGAATATTATTTTATAAAGCACAGGTAATTAATCAATAAAATAAATCTTCTGTTAGAGCAATTAAAAATCCTATAAAGTTAATATGACTGTCACGATTTTAAATCCGTAAAGCCTGTCTGTTAGTGTAAGAACTTCTTTTTTATTGTTAATGTTAGTTGCCTCGTTTAATTAAAACTTAAACACAAACGGCTTATTTAAAATTGGGAAAAATCATACAGAGCAAATCGGTATAACTTACGAGCTTAGATGTGAGAAAGTCAAAAACAACTCTTAAAAACCAGTGAAAAACAACTCATAAATAAGCACTTCTTAAAACCGGAAAAACATTAAAATTCCACCGCGGGTCAAAGACCGACTGCGCCCGCCAGCCGTTGAGTGAGTAGGTACCTCTACACAGAGCTCAGCTGACTCCTTTGATTCCACACAATACAATAAAATCGTCTTAGATGCCTTTATTGAAATAATAAGCACAAATGTCATCTTCTCTTAAGCAGAGAAAAACTTTAAAAGTTAATAATAATTTTGTCACAGTTGGTAATAGGCAAATGCTAAACAAAAAGAAATACTTATTGCAGTTCAATACTTGGGTCAGAATGAAATTTATAACCAGGTATTCAAAAGTACTTACGAGACCGGCGATGTAGGTAGGTACAACGAGGAACGAGGAACATATTCATTTTTTTCACTAGAACTTTTTATCAAATCAATCACACTGGTAGTACACTAATTAGTTGTTTCAAATCAAAAAGTATTTACACGAGCAATAAAAAGAGACTTAAATTATTATCTGCAAAATTGTAGCTCTAAACCACCATTTTGCTGCAAAAAAAAGTAGGCACGTTTGCGGACGTGTCTTTCCACCTTTTTTTAAAGAGTCCCTATCACTACTCACTACACAAAATGCAACTTCTATGGTTTGGGGACTCATTCGTAAACCAAACCTACTTCGTCACACTCGCGATAGCAGTACACCAACCATCTCTAAATATTCTTGGTTCGTATACCAAGGCATAATGAAATTACTAAGTTCGTAAATTATACCGATTTGCTCTTTATGATTTTTCCCAATTTTAAATAAGCCGTTTGTTCTTAAGTTTTAATTAAACGAGGCAACTAACATTAACAATAAAAAAGAAGTTCTTACACTAACAGACAGGCTTTACCGATTTTAAATCGTGACAGCCATATTAACTTTATAGGATTTTTAATTGCTCTAACAGAAAGAAGATTTATTTTATTGATTAATTACCTGTGCTTTATGAAATAATATTCAAAGGTATTGTGTTTCAGTGAATAAATAATTATAATATAGGATCTAAGACTATTTTATTGTAATGTTTTTAAATAGTGTGGAATCAAAGCGGAAAGTAGGTAAGCGCCGAGTCATCTGTGCGTGTAGGTACACAGGCGGCCGCCGGTCGTTGCTCCCGGCCCTGATCTCGACTGGAGGCATTCATTAAGTTTCCGTTTTTTTAGGAGTGATTATTTTTAGTTATTTTACAACTTCTATGTAGACGTGTTTAAAATGAATAATTACTCATAAGGAAGAAATGACAAAAAATAACCAAATAAAAAACGAAAAAAAAAAATTTTAAAAAATCCGAAAAAAATCAGGCATACTCTATACACGTAACCCAACAATCTCACGAAGTTTCATAGAAACATTCAATTTCACCCTATATATTATGTACTGTATATGTATTAAAAAAAAAGATGAACATGAATCATTCGGTACAACGAAATAGCATACCTACCTACTTGGACGATATAAGACGACAATAAATAATAACTTAAAGTTAACTTAAAGAACAGCGCGAGTGTGGCCTCGCTCTATAATTCAGTTTTTTTTAACGAAATTTATAAATATTCGGCTTTGGGCCAGCATATTTATAAAGAAATACATATTAAACATCCATGACTGGAATACAAATGTTCGTATTCATCACACAAACATCTGCTCCCACCGGGATTCGAACCCGGGGTCTCTCGAGTCGGCATCACCACGAAACGCGGCGTATAAACGACTCGGCCACGGAGGTCGTCAAAATCAAAAAATCTTGTGCTCCAGGCCTCGCCCAGCGACTCGGTAGTCGGCACCGGGGTCATCGATTTGTACGCATGAATCGTCCATGTTGGTAAATAAATATTGGTTAGTTGTGGTTAATGATCTAACCAACGAAGATGGCGACCAGCTGCCACGTCTCCATGTTCATCTTGCGTGCCAGGTCGGCCGTCACCTCGCCCAGCGACTCGGTGGTCGGCGCCGCAATCGTCGTTATGTATGCATTGCTCGTCCATGTTGGTAGGTACATACTGGTTAGTTCTAGTGAATGTTCTTACCAATGAGGATGGCGACCAGCTGCCACGTCTCCATGTTCATCTTGCGTGCCAGGTCGGCCGTCACCTCGCCCAGCGACTCGGTGGTCGGCGCCGGGGTCGTCGATACGTAAGCATTGCTCGCCGATTCTGTTACAGGAGTTAAGTGTTATATTTCATAGGAGATAATATAAGCTGTATTTGCACCCGTCTCTTAAACAAACACTGAAAAAACTTATTGTATGACAGATAAATGGGTTCTTAGAATATCATAAAGTCTTGTCACTTAGCATGGTTTTCGAAAAGGGCGCAACACTACCTCCACTTCTAATGTGTTTTGTAGAATATGTTAACGAAAGTTTGGAATCTGGTAATCAATTAATATCACTTTTTATCAATTATAAAACAGCTTTCCACACTTTAGTTCATAATATTTACTTAAGGCGATGGAAGAATGCGGTAAACGTAGACTTACAAATAAATGGTTTAGAAACTACTTAATAAACATAAAAATAAGTACATTAAATTGCTAATGTATTAGGCGAGGAAGCATGTGATGGAAGTAGATCTCAGAGTACCAACTGGCTCCGTGTATGGTCCAGTAGGGTATATTATGCACTCGAATAGTGTTTCAAATGTAGTCACTAATTGTAAAGTGTTTATGTATGCAGATGACATGTGCCTCATTTATGCCTCTAAAGATATATTGGAAATAAAAAAAAAAACCAACAGGACTTCAACAATATTACCATATGGGCACATGATAACGGTTTTATATTGAACTTATTCAAAACAAAATCCATGCATATACACTACTCCTATCTATACTTAATATTATAAAGAGGAAAGATTTGTATGTAAAGTATGTTTGCCCAAAAAGTACTTGGCCGATTTTAAAAGTTCTTTCACCATTTGAATGCTACGTTATCACTGATTAATATAGGCTATATTGTATTTAAAAAAAGTTAGGGTTCCGTATGAAAACTTCGATAATACATTATCAGGGTTACAAACTCAACGTGTGTAAAAATACCAAAAATAGCCTTATATCGCGTATGCTGCGGATGTCACTGACACTAGAGCAAAGTGATGTACTAAAGTTTTATAGAGGAATATCAATATCTACAAAAAACCATAAACACCATACCATATGTCTAACTACAGTTATGTCACAATTAGAGGTCCCCTGCGGTGTCACCCGCGGTTATTTGAAGAAAAAGGTTTATAGTGAGTCAAACTTTAAATATGGACATAGGCTGTCGTGGACCTTTTTACAGAACTTTTAAAGGGGAAGAATTCCGTCATACATGATATTTGTGTAACGTTGTTTACCCAGCGCACGCAACGGAATCTCACAAATGGAATATTTTCACCCGTTTTTGCAACATTTTCATCTTAGCCTGGCAATACATACCCTAAAGCCTTCCTCGATAAATGCACTGTCCAACACAAAAAGATTTTTTCAAATCGGAACAGCGGAGCAATGTTGCATTCGGGTCCTAAACTACGCAGCGAATTTTTTACTTGGAATGGAAGGTTTATAATTATTATGAAGAAAGTCATTGTCTACCTTTGAACAAAATCTATAGTCTACACTACAGCTCTACACCGAAACAAAGCGAGGGCGGGCCACTAGTAATCAATAAGCTAAAATAGTAAATAAGAAGGATCTAGCTATAATAGGACACACATGTGGCTGTCTTCATGTAAACAAGATAGGTTGTGATTGTGTCGAACTAGAATATGTTATATACACTCCCCCTATAATCAATAAGCTAAAATAGTAAATAAGAAGGATCTAGCTATAATACGACACACATATAGCTGTAAACAAGATGGGTTGTGATTGTGATTGTGTCTAACTGGAATATGCTAATACACACAAATATTTGGGCTTAACTATTGACAAAAAAAATTGGAAACCTCATGTAAATTATGTTTGTAATAAGCTAAGATTTGTCCTAGGTATTTTTTTTTTCATTTAAGTTAAGTAGGGTGTTAAACAAGCATACACTACAAATTGTTATTTATGCACTAATTCTGAGCTTACAACAAGCTATACGGGCGGCCATTTACGACATACCTGCAAGCTATTAAGAACTTACAGATAAGACTGATTAAATTCTTAGTCAGTCTGTTTTAAAGAATATGCTAAATTGTTTAATATATATTGTTGTTTAAGATATTTCCAATAGAAAAAAAGTTCACTACCTAATATGCATAGAGCATTATTATAATGACCGGTAGGGTAGACTGTACTAACTTTGGCCCCGCACAATGATTTGCCCTCTTGCAATTACACTAATATATTAAGAAATTTATAAATAAAGTACTGAAAACAATATGTCATTATTATTCTTTAGTGGCAATTCTTCAATATTCAGTTAATATTGGACCTCTACAAATGACATTTAAAATAAAAAGTTTGATAGTCGCTGGTTCGCACAAACTATGAAAAGGCAACCATTTTATTGAAGGGATAGGTGTTTTAATACACGTTATTTTTAATGATTTATCTTTTCGACATAATTAGTAAAATGTAACCACTGCATAGATGAAAATTGTATTTTAGCAGAGTTTTACCTAAAGTTCAACAAAATATTAAAGTTTTGGTGTGCAATCTTTGGTATAATATCTGGTATGGGAGTATAATTATTGGCACCTATGTTTATCACTGATTTGTATTCTTTTGTTTTGCTTTCCAATTTTGGAACGAAGTTCCTTTGCAGTTTGGCAGATGAGGGTTAAGCGAAAATTTCCCATCACAACCTAGCGAGGCAGCTGGGCGGGTAACTAGATGGGCAGTGAGGTGGAAGACCACTAACGGCGGTGGTTGTGGACTTGGTTTTTTAAATGTTGTAATTTTTTATAAAGCCAGCCATATCATTTAATTAAATGTAAGTATAAAGCCATACCTATTTAAACTGTACAACCAAAGAGATGGTATTGCAAGCTGATTTGTAAAGAATAAGAAAGAATGTTCCTCTAACATATAGATCAATGATTTGCTTGGACGAATACATTTGCTTTGTTAGGTACACAATACACAACCTAAAGTGACTAACAGGAAAACAGGAAACTTTTGTCATGGTTTGTAAAGAAAATATCTTATGCAAATGTGCAGAACATTTTTGGAAACATTTGAATAGAGGATGAGAATCAATAATGCATGTATCCTTATGAATGATTTATGATACCTTTGCTACCTTCAGCCTTATTAATTCGGTTCGTGTGTATATATATGTTATGAAACTGTGTAAACTTATACAGAAAATGTCGTTCTTATTATTACAAAATAAGAGACGCCGTTAATATAAAATTGTGTAAACCTAGGTCGGTTTTACTATCTTCTTTTTAATATTATTAAAATAGAAGCATGCGAGAGTTATAAGAAGAGAATTGTATATATCTCTACATGTTCTTATTATGTTTCTATCTACCCCGCTTGGAACTGTGATGTGTTTCTGACGCAATCATATTATCGCTTGTCTCGTTGGAAATAATAACCATTATGCTAAGTGGATTTCCACTCTGGAAACTCAAACTCAGCTGATTTTCAAACTAAATATTGCTATTCAACCAATATTATGTTAAAATTCCATCTTTCGACAAAACACACAAAAATCGACAAGGAATAATTACAGATTTTAATCAGTTTTATACTTTTAGTTTGAATATAAAAATATAATTAACAAGCATTAACTGTCTTTACGCAACTTATGGAACTTATTTCCAATTTAAAAACCTACCTACCAGTTCAATTATTTATTAAAATATTAATACATATAATTTTCCTATGAATATTCTATCCTAACAAATCTATATCTATACTATAATCTAATATATAAAATTTTCATGTCACAGTGTTTGTAACAAAACTTCCTCGATATAGCTTGACCGATTCTTATATAAATTTTGTGTGTATATTCAGTAGGTCCGAGAATAGGACGCAAAACTAGTTTTCATACCCCTAAATGATCCATGAGAGAGCGCATGGAAGCCGTTATCCGAGCAAGGGGGTGTAACACTAGGTTTTAGGTTAGTTAGTAGATATATAGAAAACATCATTTAATACAATGTAGAGATGGGCGTTTTTAGATATTTTTGAAATCGATGCGCATCGGTATCAGATAAATCGCATCGGATGCCCACATCGATGCCGGCATCACATTGATGCCGGCATCGCATCGATGTCAACTGAATGTCGATATCTTGTATCACAGGATACGATGAATTTATACAGATGCGTGTTTTGTGTAGGTGTCTCTCTTCGATTCCTTAAATCAGGACTTGAAAATGTAAGCGAAAACCATTTATTTACTTTTCGGTATGTTATCTAAAACGATTGAATGCTGGCAAAATTGTTCGTAAAAAATTTCACACAGAGCGTAGGTTTTGAAGGCAGGCAGGATGCCAGGTTTGGATGCGTGCATCCGATACGACTGGATACCGTTAATGGATGCCGATATCATCTAGTTTTTGTCATCGTTACTATAGCAACAGTGCCACAAACTTTTCTGTGCCGGTGGCAAAAATTTGAACTATAATTTATCCATAGCATTTTGACATTTTTATGACATATTTGTTCACCGCTAGCGACATCTCCACCGGCACAGATAAGTTTGTGGCACTGTTGCTATGGTAACGTTGACAAAAACTAGATGGCATCGGCATCCAATAACGGCATCCAGTCTCATCGGATGCGCGCATCTGAACCTGGCATCGTTATTGCGCATCGTTATTCTAAAAACGCCCATCTCTAATGCAATGTATAATTTAGTAACTGTATACAAACATCATTTAATACAATGTATTAATAATACAGTAACTGTATACATGATGTTATTTACCGGGATTCACGATTGCCCATGTATTACAGTATGTGGTAACTCCAAAACATATTCTAATCTCTAAATTCCATGCTATGTCATTCTCTTTTCGAATTAACCGCATCCCAATCGATCCTTCTACTTCAAACACTGTGCATTATGCTTATGAGGGAAGAAGACGATATAATTATATGTGCCTGCAACGACGGATGGCCGGAAGGAAATGGCTGTCTGTCAGCAGTCTGTCACCGCATAAACGAAATGGTCAAATTTGTCATCGCGCCGCAAGCTTGTGTAATTCTATTTTTCCGCATAAAACTTAGATAAAGAAGTGTGTGTAACTTAATAAACAATCTTAATTAAATGAACAGATTTCCTCGAAAATAGGAGTTTTTGTGTGTGATAGCTATCAACAACGGCTTTCTTGACCGCCATCTTTAATAGTAACCGCTGGCATCAGGAAGAGACTGCTGCACGAGAAGCTGGCGTATGAGCCAGCGCCACCGTCGAGGCTCTCCGCAAGTAAGCACAGTGTTTTTGTCCTCATCCTATCCCATAAACCAAACCCGCCTTTAATATCGAACCATCACCTTACAGTCCACTCTCCGGAGTTTCGACCCCACCAGATATCGTTTTACTGCATTCGGCTTCACCAGTACGTATGCGCTCAGCGCTGGGTGCTCCCTGCCCCTTTCTCGAAAAGGGTTGAGCGTATAGAAAAAAAAAATTGAGACAAAAGTTGTGGCAATTTCTTTTATCTTTAATTTTAGAAATACCTAGGTGTTGAAGTGATTGGAACCATAAAAACGGAGATAATTGCAAAAAACCGATTTTCGTGACCTTTGACTTCGTATAACGCAGACACGAGATAATATGAGACTTTTGAGACAACTTTTAGAACGTCAAAATGAAGCTGTACACGAGTTTCCAGCTTATTATCTCAAATTGCGAGGTGAAAGTAAAGTGACAGGACTAAAAGTCCACTATTTGCAGACTAAGTACTTAACGATTCAATAATGAAAAGTCGGTAGGTGGACATCATAATAAGAAGTCTTGGAGAACATTTTTGGCAACTGGAATTATTTTTATTATCATTAAAGTCTGATGAAAGTGAAAACTCTGAAGATGACTAAGGTTTTGAGCAAAGTATGCACCTTCAATAACTATGTGATAATCAATTTAATCAATCAATAGAATAAGATTCTAAAGATGCATGTGGGCCCGAGGTCCACATGCTTACAAATGCCTTAATCATCATAATATCAAAAAAGGTCCATTTTGTTGTTTGTTTCTATGTTAAGATGGTGTTAACACTTCATTTCAAATATCCAAGTATAAATTTATACGTTTAACAGATGTTTCAATGTCTATGATTTTTAATTGTGTGAACAATATACTAATTTTGATTAAGTTTACCCACTTTTTTGGGGAATGTGGCCTAACCTGGTATCATACGTATGCGACCGAACAAAAATAAAGACATTTCGCTAACATTTCGCAAGATTCACGTGTTTTGTTTTTCGTTTCACTCACACAAGTATATAAAACCTGGTCTGTTTTTATTATCGCAATGTTTACAAGGTGACGCTCTATCTAGAGAGTAAATAATCAAAGCGGGGACTCTATACGTTTAAACGTCGAACAATGATGGATTTATTACATAAAATTCATAAATCCTTGTAATAACAATAGCCAAGTCGAAAGCATAGAACCAGTTTGGAAATAAAAATTGGTCTGTTTAGGGTGACAGCGCTGAGGGATGGGACTGGTCCGGCACGTTTGTTCCGTGTCGCGTCGCGCTCGCCACTCTGCCGCACACGTCGCCCAACAACACATTTACAAATCGTACAATATGAGTACTTAGCTAATAATAACTCAAATAATAAGATTTTTCATACAAACTTTCATCACCTTTGTTACCCTCTAAGGGGAAGATTTTTGAAAAACCCTGATACAAGTTATTCTATTTTTGGTCTTTAGTAAAAATACCAAGTTTTTGAGTTCATAGAAACGCGCGTTAAAATGTACCCAAAAAACAACTTCGACACCCTCGCAATCCCCTACTACCCCAATAGTTTTCGAAAACTAAAAAAGACAAACTTTTATTTTTTTAAAGCATGTAACTGCTTGATATTTAAATCTAAAGAAAATATAACTAGAAAGAATTCCACAAGGACCAGGCAGCAGACGGGACTCGAACCCGCACCCTTCGAAATCCGGGCGAATGCACTGACCAATTATGCTACCGCGGCCCTCATGGACCGCGTCGAAATTCCTCTAAGCATTCTTAAGCTGCAAGGCAGCGCCATCTCTTCGCATTATAGGTAACCCACAATGTCAAATGAATACTTTTACAAGTATTAAACATTTGAAAGAAGAAATAGCAATTATAGTTATAATTTTTATTTTTTTAAAGCATGTAACTGCTTCATGTTTAAATCTAAAGAAAATATAACTAAAAATATATTTTCTTCTCTTTCTCGTGCCAAATTTCAAGCTCAAGGAATAAGATTTTTCATACAAACTTTCATTCAACCATTCGGGTCTAAATTTTGAAAAACCTTTTCTTAGTACCCCTAACCCTCATAAGGAACGAAAATTTAGAGTCTCTACACCCAGCTGTTGGGCCTGTGCGTTGATAATCATGTCAGTCAGTCAACCAGTCAGTTTCTTTTATATATTTAGAAGATATAACAAGTTTTGAATATTTCTTACTCAATCACGCAAAACTGCTAATAGGATTTGGATGCAATTTGGCACGCATATAGTTTGTGAACTGGAATCAGACATATGATACTTTTGAAGTGAAACTTCTATTCGGACTTCTTTTACACCCCGTAAATGAAAAAATCCTATGGAAAAGATGAAATGGAAATACGTTACGAGCATCACACGACTATATATATGTATGTGTGTGTGTTTGTGTGTGTGTGGGATACGTGCGCAGCTCTTTCCTACCATCATGAAAATTGGAGGGTCACTCGGCGAAGACTGAAACGCTACGAGCGTCACAAGCGTCACACGCGACAATATATATAAGTGATGCGTGATCAGATTTGTGGCATCAGAATATGGCAGCAAACATTTTATGTAATAGTTAAGTTATTAAATAATTTTAAGAAAATTGTATGGTCAGGTTACGATGGGGCTGGTATGGACATTTTGGTCCAAACGTCCCTAAACATATAAAAAAAAATGTGGTCCGTGCACACTAATTGTTTGTTATCCTGGAAAAGGTAACAAATCCCACAGGAATGTGGGATTCTCAATAAAACCAAAGTTTTAAGAAGTCGCGGGCGGATGACCATAAGACTGGTTCGCCACTTAACTTTTTATATAGAAAAGTAGCCCATTGATTCTAGAGCAAAGTTTTCGGTAGCACAAAATTCGGTGTTGTGTATTTTGACATGTTGAGTTCTTGACATAAAAAAACGACCCGCGGTTTATGACAGCCATCCTTTTATCTAGCTTCGGGTTGTTACAATATTGCAGATCAAAAGCGCAAAACACTGAGCTATTTAACTTTATCATAAATATATTGAAAAGTTTATTGTCACTGTCCAATAAAGTTTATATTTATTAATTTAAAGCACGCGATAGCTTAAAAAGTTTCAGTTTACGCTGAGTAAATGGAGTTGAATAAATTATTAAACGGAAAAAGTTTGTAAGTGCGAGTCGAACTCGGGCAAGAACATAGAGCAACACGGAAGATAGCAACGTTTTTATACTGCGTTTATATAAAGAGGAACGAGTATTTGATGTTTCATTTTAACGATCTTGTACTTGTAGATCGATCGCGATTAAATTATAAAAGCGTATTTATTATAAAGTGCTATTGAGAAGTATTAAGAATAAAAGAAATTAAGCGTCTTTTACTAAAGTATCCAAGAGCTTCTTCCATTAAAGCTACAGTCCCCAGAATCTCCACAACAGGAAATCTCTACAGTAGGATTCCTACAGATTTTACACTAACTGGATTAAAAATCATCGAAAAAATAACAGTTTTTATGGGGATATATATAATAATTTTTAATTAATCTTGGTTTAACTAGCAGAAATTAAAAAATCTACTGTCTTCCTGCCTTTTACGGCTCATGAGATACCGTATAGGTAGGTATAGTTTATAGGTCGCTGACAGAGGGCGGACGGACAGCAAAAGTTTATTAATAGGGTTCCGCTGGGGACCACATCCTACCTAACACCATTTTTCGAAATGGGGTTATCCGAATTCGGAATATTTCGCTGTTCCAGAAGATAGAATTTGAAAGCCATAATTAAAATTACTGCAAGAGTGAAAGAAATAAACTGGCGACTAGAGAAGTTTTTTGTTCTTTTTAATTTTTGGATTATTGCATATTATTTAATTTGTATATAATTTTTTCCTAAGCCTGAGTTACTATCAACGTTGGGCTCAATTAAAGATTAAATCTCTTGCCTCTTGGCCTTAATTCACATATATATATGCAAAGAAAAGATATCCGTTTTAGACAATGTCCGATTTTAATCAGAGATTCGAATATTTGTAACATATTTCAGGATATTATTGAAGAAAAAAATCATTCGACCCAAGCAATATTTCGTTGACGTGTAAGAGTTCTGAATAAAATAATCCGTAAAAAATTATAGGCTCCGAGATTCGCTTCGTTTAGTGGTTTGGACTTTACCTGATTCACGTGATGATTCAGTGGATACGGTTGCTGCTTCGAGCGAAGACTCCTCGACTACCTCGCGGCGCCACCGCAACAAAGCTCCAAGTAGCGGCGACATCCCTGTCATTCAATAAAAAAAATACATTAAGTCTTAGATCAAACAAATTATTAAATGACCAATGCTTGGAAAGCTTACTAAACAGGCGATGTGAACTATACAGAATATGATAACTATTTAAAGAACTACCGTGAACCGCCACGAGAACTACCGTCGACAAACTGTTATTTGTCAAAAATGAACGATATGCAACTTGTGGAAAATAACCAAAAAACATTTACAAAACAAGGTACAATATAAAAATTCAGAAAACCCGACTGCTTAAATATTACTTTAAATAAAAAGTCCAGTAGTCTATAATTCTGTTAGGTAAAGAACAAAGCTACTTTACGGGACCTACAGCCTACAGGTACAGCTCGGACCCATTAGATATTGAAGAATGGATAATTTTTTTCCCATATTATGGGTACCGACTGTTAAAGTAGCTTTGTTCCTTACTTAGCAGAATTATACACTACTGGACTTGTTTTTTTTTCTCTTTTCAGTTTTTATTTGAAGTAATATTTATACAGTCAGGTTCTTTGATTTTTTAAATTTACCGTTTTACATTTACGATGTTATATACCGCAGTTTTGTCACTTCAGGGAGTTCATATCTCAGGGATTATTAAGTACCTTGCGGTGGTCTAAACGATTGATTTCTTAAGACACATAAAAGACCTTACCACCAGGATCAAGGTTACATATGGGCCTCTTTTTCGCAAAATGTGTGAAGTTATATCAAGTCGTTACCTATATAATCTAATGCATGTAAATTATTTATTAGTTAACTAGTACTTACTCAAACTTACTTATTCAAAAAGTTATCTTTTGTTTATGTTCTTTTTAGTAGTTTAGCAGTAAATATAAAATTCATTTACATTTATGCGTCGACTATTTACAATTGGCAGCGGCTTCATTGTCATGTAAACGTCCGGCTCTAAGATTGTGATATACACAAATGCAGTGTCATATCCTAGTCTCATAATTTGATATACCTACATAATTCACAGAAACCCAATATGTAGATGCCAGAAGTTAATTTTGTTAATCACCCTATATACAATACCAATCAATGACGTTTATGTTGCAGGTTGAAGAAAGCAGTAATTCCCGTCTGTTGTTTTGGAAAATGGTGGCAACTGCCTTAGATCGCTAAATTAAATAATTATGCAATCACCAAAGCAAAGTTTATAAAATTTGATTAAACTAAAGGCGCATAATAAAATTTTCATAACGTTAGGTAGAGCACCATAGCAATCTCATTTATTATCAATTTATAGTTCTCTTTGTAGTTTTCTTTTAAAGCGTTCACATATAACAGGTCAAAGACTTTGTGATCGACCCTTTTTTATTGGCAGTGTGAAGTTCGGATGAATAGTACTTCTACTTATCAAGCGTGCTGCTACCAGCCTAGTAGGTATTGCAAATACTGCAATCATGGCAATTATTTTCCAAATATTTTTTTTTGTATAAAAAAATACCGAATAACGTATCACTGTTAAGCTCAAATGCTAAGTAACTTTTACAAATATTATCAAATAAACTTATTACTTACTTTATTTTTAAATATTTTTCATCAATTAAATACTATTATCGTAACTATCTATACTAATATTATAAAGAGGCAAGATTTGTATGTTTGTAACAAATAATCTGTCAAACTACTGAACCGGTTTCAAATATTAATTCATCATAAGGAAGGTACATTATTTATTATTACATTTTTTTTTATTTAAATACATTTTGTCCGAGTGACATAGGCTATATTTTATCCTGATAAAATAAATTGCGCTCGTACAATGCCCGGGTGGATCAGTAGTAAGTATAATATAATATTATGGATGCGAAAGTGAATAGCTAAATCGATTATAATGAATCCCCCTATAGAAGTTGATGGGAACTTGGTTCTTAGCTACAACATCGCAATATTTATAGGCTTAGGGTGATGAAAGGGGTGATTTACCTATAAAAATCTATATTATTTACTTTGAATTTTGCACAATTACCGTTTATAATTACAAAACCAATATTATCACCAGCTGATTAATTAATACTGGGATTCCAATAAGTATGTACCTACTAGCGAAAAATGGGTTATTTGTCATTATATTAGGTAAAACTTTTTTGTAACATTATGTAATATCGTTAAAAAATCAATATAATTCTGAGTTTTATCATTAAAATTCAATAATCATAAATACCTATTATGATAATATATTTTTCATCATTTAATAAGAAGGAACTCTATCACAGTTTTATTGTAAGTACTTCGTATAGGATCAGATACTGCGAGTAGTTAATTTTTTTCTTTTTCGCCACGGTTATAAACACCTAAATTAAATTTCTTCTCTTAGTATTCCCGCAGTCTACTCCTACATAGTACACCGCGCTATCATTTTGTCATCGTTGTAACTTTTTAAATATTTGTCGAAATGACATAGTGTAAAAGGCAAAGTTTATCGTCTTTAAATATTAGAAGCGATAAAAGTATTCGTTTTGATAAAAAATAATTTGTTAATACAAAATGTGCATTTTGAACATAGATATCAAATAATATTTTAGTTTTGATTCCCTATTTAAGCGGTAATGGCTTACACATTAAAATAGATATACGGTGTCACGGACTTTTTTTTAGAACTATTTAAGAGATACATTTTCACTCTACATTACATCCATGTAACTTTTATTGTTTTTGCAGTGCAGGCCAAAATGGCTCGCAGATGGGAGATTTTTTTCCGTCTTTTGTGACAATTATTGTTATATTTTGGCCAATTCACTCAATAACTACATAAATTATTATATATGTGTTATTATCATATATGAGCTATATTACTGTTAAGTTTCATTAAAATCCATTCAGTATTTTTTACGTGAAAGAGTAACAAAGATCCATATCTTACAAACGTAAGATAAAATTAAAAGCGCAAGTGGTTAATATACAACTTGAAAGCGTTGTAGATCCTAAATACAAAATGAAAAATGATGTAAGAAACCTAAACATGATTTTCGATTATCTAGACAGTGATACCCCACTCGATATATTTTGTCAACTTATTTTTTTACTTCGTCACAATATGGCGCCTAATTTTGTTCATATTGAATTTTGATTACTATTATATCTTTAGTAGCACTCCCATGATTGAGACGAATCGATTGATGTATGAATCATCAAAATCGTTCCAGCCGTTTGGTCTCTAGTGTGCCACAAAGGAACAAACATACATATATAGACTGTTAAACACTATACCCTGTCTGCGCGTCGCGCTTCGCGCTCTTGCATTGCGCAGTCGGGTAAAAATTAATCGCTGAATGTGTTGCTAAGCGCAAATCTCGAGAACAGCTAAACCGATTTCGATAATTCTTTTTTTTAGAATATTCCTTGAAGTACGAGGATGGTTCTTACGCAGAGAAAAATTAAATAAAATGCTTGAAAATGTCCAAAAACAACACTTTTCTATACTCCCATACAAACGATTCGTAATAATACTTAGTCAATTTGAACTTTAATACCATACCATAAATTTCAAATGTTAGTGGAGAGATATATCATTTTCAGTTTTTATATAATTACTTATATGAAGAGTCATTTCAATCTACACTACAGCTCTACACCGAAGCGAAGCGAGGGAGGGCCACTCTAGTATTATATATAATTATTCTGACGACGCAGCCTGAAAAGGATGATTTACTTATTTATGACGTTTCACATCCTTTTCAGGCTGCGTCGTCAGAATTATTATATATAACTAGCAAACCAGTGAACCAAATGTTTACCAAAACCTGATTTCTCGAAAACCGGAAGTGCTACGTTACTCAAATCCGGTTTGTAGTCTTATCAGACTATTCTTAACTTATAACGCTGAAAAAGCACCACAGACAGACGGACGGACTTGTCTAATAGATAAGAGATTCTGATTTTAAATAAATCAGTACATGTATACCGTTGAAATTTGTTTTTTTTAATAAGTGGTGTGCGTGAAAACCGAGGAAAAAAATATTTTTAAATATTTATCGAAATGACATAGTGTAAAAAGCAACCCTTATCGTCTTTAAATATCAAAAGCGATAATAGTATTTGTTTTGATAAAAAACAATTTTTCAATACAAAATGTGCATTTTGGAAGTGGATATGAAATAATATTTTATTTTTGATTCACTATGCTAGCGATAATGGCTTACACGTAAAAGTATTCTGTCCAGGACTTTTTTGTAGAACTATTTAAGAGATACTTTTCCACTATACATTATATTCATGGTAACTTTTACTGTTTTGTCAAAATGGCTCGCAGATGGAAGATTACAAAATCAAAATCAATCAAATCAGCAATACGTGACACTTATTGTTATATTTTGGCCAATTCACTCAATAGCTACGTACATTATTATCTATATGTTATAATTATGTATGAGCAATATTATTGTTAAGTTTCGTAAAAATTCATACAATATTTTTTGGGTGAAAGAGTAATAATGGATCTTTGTTCTTTCACCCAAAAAATAGTGTATGAACTTTAACGAAATAATTATAAACAAACTTAAGATTGAAATAAAAGCGAAATTGATTAATATACAATTATTTATCGTTGTAGAGCGTGAATAGTCACATAAAATGAAAAACGGTGTAAGAAAACTAAACATGATTTTCGATTATCTAGACAATAATACCCTACTCGACATATTTTGTCAACTTATTTTTTTCTTTCTCACATAAAGCGCCAAATTGTCCCCATATTGTATTTTGATTACTATCATATCTTTAATAGCACTCCCATAATAAAGACAAATCGATTGACGTATGAATCATCAAAATTGGTCCACGCGTTTGGTCTCTAGTTGCCGCAAAGGAACATAATTACATAAATAGACTGTTAAACACTATACCTTGTCAGCGTCGCGCTTCGCGCTCCTGCATAGCGCAGTCGGGTAAAAAAGCTGCCTGGGTTCTCCATGTATCCAAGACTGTGATTCAGGTTGTATATTTTATATACCTAATATTACTATATAGAAAGACATCAGGCATG